TTCACGGTAGGTCCCGGTCCCGAGCGCTTGCCGGGTTTCGTTTTGGTTTGGTTCGATTCGGGGTCGGTCTCCCGAGGATCCCGGCTCGTAGTTGTGCGAGGCGCGCGGGTGTAGCCCGATCTACCACAGTCGCCCTCCATCCGCCACCGCCGAGTCGGGTAGGTACTGTGGCCGCCGCCCCTGTTTTCATTTGTACTCTGTTTTTTTGGGGGGTCACTGGCCGGAGCTCGCGGCCGTCCGGCTTGCGCGAGTTCCGGCCAGTGACACCTCGGGCTCGGTCCTGCTTGTCTGGGTATTGTTGTGTGTGAATTTCGGACGTGTTTGAGCCTCGATCGAGCTTAAATCCCTCGCTTTCGTCGACGCCCGCAATGTGTCTGATGATATGCCCGAACCAACCTTTGAATCTGGCTTTGTTTCGCTGCGGTCTTGGGGACGTCGGTCGGTCCCGGCGTGCCGCCGGTTGCCACAGCTGTCCGGGCGTGGCCATGAAAGGGAGCGAACAGCCAGTCCCTTGTCGGGATCTGGCTGGTTCGCAGCCGCTCGGCTCCTCGTCGGGGCAGCGACGTGAACGTGAGTCGAGGCGCGGCCGAGCAAGGGCTCGGTCGCACAGTAGAAAGCCCCGATCGCGGAGGTCGGGGCATGTCGAATGACAGCCGAGCACGGGCTCGGCCGCCGGACCGGAAATCCCAACCACAGAGGCTAGGTCTTGGAGGGAGCCAGCGTTCCGGCCGGCCGGCGAAGGTGAGACAGTGGACGCGGCGTCGGGCGGCGGCCGTGGAAGGCAAGGCCCTGGGAACGGGGTGGCGGCCGCGAGTCGGGTCACGAACCGGGTCAGACGCGCGGGCGAGTTGGGTAGGGTTTCGGCGATTCGGGTTCGCGGCGTCGAGTCGGGTCGGCGACCGCAAACCGGGTCGGGTTCGTGGGTCACAACTGGGTAGGGTTTTGTGGGTGTTGGGCTTGGTTTTAGGTTTATTAGGTTTTTATTAGGTTTTGGGCTTTTTTTTTTTTCAGAATTAGAGTGGGTTTCATTAGGTCTTGGCCTTTCGCGGGTGGGCCGAAATTGGAATTTGGGCTAAATTGTCTTGTTTTGTCTTTTTATTTCCAGCGGGCTTTGGGCCTTTATTATTTTTCTAAATAAAAAATTCGGGCTGGGCCCTTTTTCTTTCTTTTAAATTCGTCGGACCCGGCTCAACAAATGAACCCGGTCCGATCGTGGACCCAGGCCGGCGCACCCGGGTCAGTCCGGGTTGGATGTGGAGATTCGACCCAAATCCGTTTTATATTATTTTCAATATTATTTTATTATTTTAATATTTAATTTTTAAAAAAAAACTTTAAATTTTTTTTTATCCGGGTCGGATGTGGAGATCTGACCCAGTCTATTTTATGTTATTTTATTATTTAAAAAAAAATTTCAAAAAAAATTTCAAAAAAATTTCAAAAAATTTCGAAAAATCAGAATATATATTTGGACTTTGGAATTGGTTTTTTCTAGCCCTATTGTGTGATTAGTGTCATATTCGACCGCACGTTGCTTGGTTCACACACTTTGAGTTGCGCGTTTAATTTAATCTCATGTGTGGTGGAATATGCACATTAGGTTCATGTATTCATTGTGGACTCCCGATTAGTGTGAACACGTTAGGCAGTAATTGAACAAAGTTAGGTACCGAAAGGGCACTAATTGGTCAATTAGTGTAAATAAGTCCCCGTACCCATTGAATCTCTGGTTCGTAGAAGTAAAGCATTTCTCCCGTGCTTTACTTGGGTGTCTAATCGATCCACCAAAAATCGATTATTGGCGACTCCTAAGATGAAATTGATTTGCATGTTAACAACTTAAACTTAAGTTGCGAATTGGTATGGGTTTGGGAGAGCTCGAGCTAGGCTTAACTTAGTAATCCATTAGCCTAATCCCCTAGGTGGCAAGACCGGTTCGGGGAGGTCGCGACAACAATACAGACCCTTTATTTGGTCCATAAGCAAAATCTGATGGACCAAAAAAGAAAGAAAAAATAAATAAAATAAAATAAAAAGGAGAAGGTGAGAGATCATTAATAAAGTAAATGGGGTCAACCAGCTTTTGTTGATTGAGGGGCTCAATAAACACAAAAAGTCTCAAAAGCCAGAACAAAAGAGGGAAGCTCCCCTAATTTCAAACGTCTCTGCTTCCTGGTCTGTAATAATCTTTTCAAGATCTTGAACCTGAAGACTTGTTGGGTCCAACATGGCTTTGTCAAGCAGAGCTTGCTTGATTGTAACCATTGGAATGGTTGACTAGGGATTGACCCATCGAACTGCATGGATTATTTGCCCAACATTCAAATCAAATGGCCGAGCTTCCGCGAGTTGTCTACCGTATTCCAAGCACAATCTCCTAGTGATATACAACCATGAAAGCATCAAAGAGATGCTGAGGACTCAAAAGGGTAATATAGCATCACTCTAACTATCATTTAGGCAAACAGTCACTATATCAGTAATCGATCAAAAAAAAATATCAGTACAGTTTCATATGAAAAATGTTAAAAGATTTTTCAGAATGTATCGATTAGAATTTATCAGATATCTTTGGAGGATGAGAAAATAGCTCATTTGGTCAAGGTAATATTTCGATTACATGCTACTAGGAACATATATAAGTCCTATTTTCTGTTAAATTTACAAAAAGTATTTTGTATCAATGATATGCCATTTTCTACTCAAAAGGGTGTCACGAAGGGCACGTTAATGTGATTCTATCAATGATATGCCATTTTCTTAGCTCAAAAGTAAAGGTTACATAAGACACAACAAAGGTCTTGTAACTAAATAAATTTAAATGCGAGAAAGGATAGTTCTCGTGGACTCCAAAAGCAAGTCCCTAGATTCTTCGTGTTTTCCTACTTTTGCACTATCTTTTGCGCAAAGTTCAATGAAATAAAGAGGCCACACGACAACAAGTCTCCTTACTAAGGCTCCGTTCGTTTGGCGAAAAATATTCTCCTTTTGAAAAATATTTTCCCGGAACATAATTTTCCGGTGTTCGGCGACCAATATGAAAAAGTTTTGGAAAATATTTTTCGCCGGTGACCGGCAGCGGCGGCCGGCAACCGGTGGCGGCGGCGGCGGCGGCTGCCGACCAGCGGCGGCCGCCGGCGATCGACGACGGCCACCAGTGACCTTAGTGAAGAAGAAGAAGAAGAAGCTCCGGAAAATGATTTCCGCTTTTGAAGAAGCGGAAGTCATTTTCCATAGACTTAGGCTATCTTGTGAGGAGGGGAAGGAAAATATTTTCCCACGGAAAACGTTTTCCGCCCCGCGAACACCGGAAAACCCGGAAAATATTTTCCGGGAAAATATTTTCCGCCAAACGAACGGAGCCTAAGTAACTTAATCAACCTCCCACCGCTAATCACGTCTTATTTTAGTAGCCAAACCAAAGTTTTCTTCCATATGTACAGATAAAATGGTTCACTGCATCAATCGACAAGATTTAATCAGAAGTGGAGATGAAAAGATCGATGTCTCTAGTTTGAAGTGATTGCACCAAGGTCACACGCTACTCCATTATATGTCGTGACTCTTTTAAAAGACTTTGCTTTTGCCTTCAACAATTATTAAAGTATGTCTCCCTCCTGATTCTAGCTAAGAAAGATATCCCCCGTATCGTGTCCAGTCAATCATTAGCGTTACAGAATGTTCAATAAAGAAAATGTAAAGACTCCGAATTACTCAGAAAGTCGTTAGGACCCACTTTTGCTTCAACTTGTCCCTACCTGTTTACCATCTTTTTATAGCTGGACTCCACGGCTAAAATTTATAGTCAAGCAACCAGTCATTCTTGGCATGTGCATGGCAAGAATACAGTTATATATAATGGATATACCATCAAACGGGTAGGTCAGATAAAAAATGATCTAATCCAAATTAACACATTTAATCCGTTTTGACCCATTTATATCCATTGCATATTTAATGACCCATACCCAACCTAATCCATACACAATCCCGACCTAAATTCCATTTTTAGCAAGTTTGCTCCTTAAATTGTTACCTTCGAAGAGTGGGCTGCTCCATGGACCGACTCTTTAAGTTAGTAAAGGAGCTCGGGGGTTGGGTTATGGATGAAGCCGTAAAAGTGGTGGTGAAAGTTTGGGTTTCCTCATAAGTACAATTTGTCACAATAGTTTGAAGATGCAAGTCGGAGGTTGAAGAAAACATAACGATGGCAGAAGTAGTGTAAACAAAAGGAGAAGGTCGCGAGTCACGAAATCGAAGAGGGAGAAAGAATAGACTGGCGAAAAAGGATCAAAGTGAGCTGAGCTTGACCTATTTATTAATTAGGTTGAAATTGGATTCATAACAGATCCACAAAAACCCATATGTATTGGGATTTTAACTTTAAAATCTATTATGACCCATAATTTAAGCTTGAGATGACCTATTTGTGACCCGTTTAAATAATTGTGAGTTAGATTATAGGTTTATAAACCATTTTGACAGCCTTGATATACACCATTTTGTATCTAAGTGGAGTATGGGAGAGGGTCTTTTATGTAATGACTATGCATACGATAATTATGAACAAAACGAGATAAACATAAAATCAAAATCCAAACAATTAATGAGCCTTTCGTCAAAGCCAGCACATGAAGAAGAAAATTTACGAGCGAAATCGGGATCAATTTGGAACCGGTGCAGTCATTGTCGAAGGTGCTTTTTGAAATTTTCATCAGTATTGTAAAGCATATCTTCTTCAGTTTGAGTGAAACTACAGAAGCAAACTAGGAAGAAGGGGATATGGTCACCTAATAGCCATTTCATGTTGGTCATGCATGAGATGATAATGGTAATTTTCCAATCAAACATCTTCCCTCCATCTAGAGAGAGAGAGAGAGAGAGAGAGAGAGAGAGAGAGTAGCTACCAGTCAAACTCAATATGGCCGCAAAGAAAACCAACAGTTGCTTCGCCTTTTTGGCTTGTCTCTCCCTTTATTAAAACCCCAATCTATCACCTAAGTCTTCCCCTTCCTTCCTTATCCTTCATTCTCATCTCTCTCCCTTCAATTGCAAATGACACAAATCGACATAAGATCACCCAAACACTGCGCCCAAAAGCAAGCCAGGTTCTACGACAACATAGACAATCCCAAGCTCTACAAGAAGCTCTTCTTTGCCTTGTCCACTCTCTTCACCACCCTCCTCTCCCTCATCCTCCTCGTCTACCTCCTCCTCCACCCCACCAAGCCCCGCTTCTCCCTCCAACAAGCCCAAATCTACCAACTCAACCTCTCCACCAATCCACAGCTCATCAACTCCTCCATCCAACTCACCCTTGTCGCCACAAACCCCAACACCAAGGTCGGCATCTACTACGATGGCCTCCGGGTTTATGTAACCTACAAGGGCCAGCAGATAACCCTTGACTCTCCCCTTCCACCCTTTTATCAAGGGCACCAGGACACCAATCTCTTGACTGCCTCCCTCGTGGGAAGTTCGATTCCTGTCGCTCCCTCTTTCGGTTATGAAGTGGGCCGTGATCAGAGCGCGGGCAAATTGGCAATCAGTGTCAAAGTGAATGGGAGGGTAAGGTGGAAGGTGGGGACTTGGGTTTCATCGAATTATCGGATAAATGTCAACTGCGTCGCGGTTATGGATTTCGGGCCAACGATTCCGACCGGCCCGTTGAGTTCCAAGCAAGGAAGCCAATGTTCTACTTCTCTGTGAAAAAAGGAAAGAAGGAAATTTATCATCACCGCTACTTTTAGGATACATATATTTGCATTTTCAAGTTTATGCTTTCTTCTCTTTTGTTTGATAGTGTTGGCCTTATGTTGATGTATTTCAACTTTTTTGGCAAGTACATATGATGTTAATGATGGTTGAGAAGATGAGAAAGGTTGAAGTTATAATGAGACGTAAAAAGCTTGTTTTGATTTGTTAATGTTATCTTGGTCATCCCTTTCTCGATAATGCTAAATCGCTATATTGCCATGCATGGAGTTGAAAAGGAGGCGCATGTGCTGTCGCTTTTGTGGGCGGTATCGATACATGAAAGTGGAGAGTGGAGAAAATGATTTTCTATTTTTAAATTATACTATCAAAAACTAAAATTATTAAGAAGCTACACATATGTACTCGCGATGTAAATGTTATTGATCCTAGAAGTCTTGATTTTGAACATTTTGAACAAGTATAATTATGAAAGGTGGTATCAAAACTCGGATCCCCAGGCTAGCTTCTTCTTTTGAGTTATTTATAGCCTTTTTAATTTCCAATCATATATTTGAATTTAACGTAGCTGGAAAGTTGTTAATCATGAGTAAAGTCTCTGGTATATGCGATGGTAAAAGGAATGGAGTTGATTAATGTGAGATTAAAAGAGTTCTTAGGCACCCAACTTTCTTCTTGCTTTTGTTTTAGTAAAAGAAAGATAATTGAATCTTAAATTGGGGCTGCAACTTCGGTGCTTGCCATATGAATCCCAGATATGATTTTAAATAATTGAGTAACCAAAAAGGGGCACATGCACATGGTAAGGACAAAAACAGTGACTTTCCTCAAAAAGTGAAAATGAGGAAAAGAAAAAAGGAGTGAAAATAATTTGGGCTGCAGATTTCTTTTTGTCAAAAGCTAAAACACTTTCCAGGGATTTGCAGAAAAAGTCGCAAACCCTAGTCCTACATCAACCCCACCCAAAAAAAGAGACGTATATATATATATATATATATATATATATATATATATATATATATATATATATATATAGACTATGATGTATTCACAATATGGATTGAAAATTTCATTCATAATTCTTTGGAATTCTGAAGGAGAGAGCTTCTTGGAGTGTGGCAAGAAAGGCATGTCCCTAAGAGATTGGTATTTATAGGGTGATGAACAGTAAATTGTTACAATGATGAACAGTAAAAAAAGTGCTACAATAATTGCTACAGTGATTTGTCGGTCATTATCTACTACAGTGATCAGCTTCGCTGCTACAATTCTTTGGCATGTGACCAGGTGATTTTATTCTTCGCTATCCATGCAAGATCTATTCCATAGCAGTCGTTTTCATTGATATTTCTATTATGGTGTGATTGGATGGAACTGGAAGTTCTTTCTATTTGAGAGATGATCTTCTTCATGACTTGTACATATTATTGTGGTGATCATACAACCACTAGCTATGCTGTTGCAAGAGATTTTTGCCGTAAAAATGATATACTGGATAATTGTGTTGTATTATGGATATTTCGACTCTTCGACTAGTTTGTTTCTAACTGGTTGGAGATTTGATTAAATAATTAGAAACCATCCCACCACTCAGTTCTGTAATGGAAGAGAGGGAGAGAGGGAGTCTTGGAGCGGGGCAAGAAAGTTGTGTCCCTCTAAGTGAGAAGAGATGGGTACTTATAGGGTGATGAACAATAAAAGTGCTACAATAATAAACAATAAAAAATGCTATAGTGATTTGTCGACCATTGTCTGCTATAGTGATTGGTGCCGCTGCTACAGTTCTTCGGCATATGACCAAGTGATTTTATTCTTCTTTGCTGTCTGCTACTAGATCTATTCCATAGCAATCGCATTCATTGGTATCTCTACTATGGTGTGATGGGGTGAAATAGGAAGTACCTTCTATTTCATAGATGACTTCTTCATTACTTCTAGATATTGTTGTGGTGATTGTACAACCATTAGCTGTGTTGTTGCAAGAGATTTTTGATGTATGATGTATTGGGTAATTGGGTTGTATTATGGATATTTCAGCTATTCAACCAGTTTGTGACTAACTGGTCGGAAAGTTTGCTTGACCAATTTTATAGAAACAGAATATATATATTTATATATATATATATGGAAAACCTTGAGACGATCCTATTTTTGAGAAACTATAATCTTTGCTCGTACATTTGAATAAAAGCTAATTCAAGTTCAATAGTGCGCTCAAAGTCAACAAACGACCTGGTCTTAAAATTTGTCCACACCATAGAAAATTTGATGCCTAGCGAAACATGTCAACGATTATACATACAGGAAGGAAGCCAGTGGTGTTGGGTTATGTAATCGGTATTAATGTGCCATGAAATAGCAATACTAAGTGCATGTACTAGACAATGCGATCTTGTTCCTTTATAATGACACGTGTCTGAGCCTTTCGATTTAATTTATCTTAATGAATGTAGGTAAACCGTCTTTGTTTACGTTCATCAGGTGAGGCTCCATTGTACAGTTAGACACGAGCTTAGAGCTCGAGCTCGAGATTGAAGTCGACCTGCTCTTCGTTAAAGAAATCGGGGGTTCTCAATATGTACTAAGCATGAAAATAAATTAAAGAGCAGTACGCAAAGTGGAGACTCTGTTCTTGGGCCAGTCTTTTGTGGCCTTCTGAGAAGATATTCTTGGGTTGGACTATTGATAGGCCTTACTATTAAATTCATGGGTTGATCGTATCGCATGCTTGTTCGATCATGGCTAGGATTCGAGGATGTTGTTCATGGACTAGATAAGTTCTACAAACTTGCTAAAACATGCGTCTAGGCTTCATGTTTTTAACATTGGTATTGAATGATTTCCTTTTTCCTTTTTTTTCTGTCTTAAATGATGTTTGAATGTTTGGACCTTACGAAAACATTCATCGATTCTCAAGTGATAGGCTTCTCATAGATGATTTCAGTTTTGTTTTCTTGGTTTAAAAGATGATGTCGCTGCGAATTTCTTACATTAAGAGTCTAAGATATCAAGAACAGAATTTCAAGCTATATCAACATTAACCTGCTAGAAATTAAGTATAGGAGAGGGGATGAATTCTCATCTGTACTATTATATAAAGTAAAGAGAAACTCTTATTTTTAAGATATCACAATTCCTTCTTCTTTTTTCCTTCCTCAGAATCTACACATATCCTCGATAAATTATTTTACAAGTCTTCCTATCAATGGACAAATGCATAAATCGACAGTTCTATTTTATCTATCACATATTTCATTTTTCAAAGCTTTAATATGTTTTTATCTTAATATCAAAGTTACCAAAATAAGTCCAAATCAAAAAGTATTTTCCTTTTTCGCATGCATGTTCACGATTCCTTTATATTGTGTCAGATAATTTCATTTCGTTAATTGATCATTCAAGTGCTATATAATTAGGCAATTTCGCGAAATTTTTTTAAATGACAATTTTTTTTCATATTTGCTAGTTATCTGAAATAATTTTTTTATTTTGGACGAGCCTAGTCAAGTGAAACTGATTGATTATCTTTCTTTTTTTTGGGTAAAAAAACTGATTGATATCTTGTGTGGATCCGCTACCATTTCCTTGTTTCCTCCATGTGATGAATATGTGTGTAGTACTTTTCTGTACGTACACTTGCTGAATCGCAGGCACATGGACTGGCAATTGCCACATTCATAGTATGCACAATTTTTTCCACAAAGCTTTGTTCCTTTCCCTTTTTTGTTTGGTTATGTATTTTCCACAAGATTTGTCATCTCTTTCTCGTTCCCTCATTTTCTTGTGGAATGTGGATGACTATAATTGATTGGCCTTATCTTTATTAGGTTGCATGCACTTCACATTAATCATGTAAGAGATATTAATGAGATTTTCAAAATCTCCCTTAATTGTGCATATCCTGGATTGTTCGTGTAATTTGTAAGAGATAATCATAATATTCTCCGCATCTCCTGTGATTGTGAATACACCCCCCCCGTTTTTTTTTTTTTTGGTCAGATTAATATACTCCATTGATTATGCATATCTTTGATTGATCAACCATGCACGATAAAGGGAGATATGAAGAATCTACTCATTTATCTCTAACAAATCACATGATCTTGGACAGCTAGACGTGATACCGCACTCCTGGAGTTCAACGTGTTAGAATTTTCAACTGAAAAGCTTAACTTATATGATGAAGGAAGAGCAAATGTATTTGAAACCTCGACGATATCAATCTGGTGGTGGAATGCCCTTCTCATAAGTAATATCCTAATTGATTTTTGCATCTATTGGTTAGCTTGCGAATATTATTGAGTGGTGTGACGTTCGGTGACCGAACTGACTAAACTATACCTTCTAAAATTGGAGGGATTGTGTCATAGTGACATTACATTCATATCCACCAACTTCTCCGATCATCAAGACAACAGAATACAACCTCTTTTTTTTTTATGTCTATCATTGCGTGTGACAAATAGTCATGTATTACATGCACCGATCGATGCTTTGTGCGCTTTTAGCTAGAGAGTGCGATTAGTGTCTCGTCTCGTATTAAGAGTGTGTTTGTTTGAGAAAAATAATCAACAAATCGGTTTTTTGGATTTCAAGCGTTTGGTTTACTAAAAATGATCAGTTAACATAATATCATTTATGTTCAAAGAAAATATGCATGCTTGAAGTTACGAAAGTGAAATTCCCTGATCTGAAAAGAAGAAAAAAAATTCCTAAAAAATAATTTTTCAGTGAGCATTTTTTTTTATCATGAAGTTTTCCTTAAAACAAACACGCCTTCAATTTTTGTAATTGATGTGATGCTTGGCCTACATGAAAACTCTATCGTAACAATAGTTAAGAGAAAAATAAAAGGGAACTTTGCTTAATTAAAGCGAGTGAGCAATCATGGAAGGCCTAAATTTCTTAGGTATAGATAGACATATTAGGTAATGTGTTCTTGGGGTGACGTCACTTTTTCTTAGGTATGTAGGTGATGAAAGCACCGATGATTTAGTTAGGTTTTTGATAGGGATCGATGAGCCTAAACTAGCACGTCTCACAAGAGAAGTGCATTTCACGTTGGGATTCTCCGGAGACAGCAAAATCAACCGAGAAAAGGTTGATACGGATACAATAGAGGGGATTAGATAGACGTGCTTATTGAATATGTCTCACTTACTTGAAGGATCATTCACTTAGAGTTTATCGCATCGATTTATAAGTTAATTC